CTGCAGAAAGCACTGCCTTGTGTGTGGCATCAGCCCAGTGGAGAGAAGCTGTGCTGGCAGCATGAGGACGAGGAGCTTGCACCAAGGTAGGAACCACTTAGGATGCTCTGTAGCACTGTGGCTGTTTGGGGGGCCAGCTGGTCTGGGCAGCTGCAGCATCTGGGCTTTCACCAGCAGCACCTGCCTAGCAGAGCAGCAGCCTGGGTATGTTGCAGGTCCTAGAGCCTGGGCAGGGGGAGAGGGACTGTTTTCCAGCTAGGGAACCTTTTGGGACAGTGCAGATCTCTGTTCTTGCCAACCCTGTATGGGGAGCAGTGATATTCACTCTACAGGAGCTGGGAGCACCCCGTGTTTCTGACCTTCTCACCCAAGTGTCAGCAAGGCAGCCACTAGGATTTTTTTGGCCTCACTGCAGGTCCTGCAGCAGCACTGCACATCAGAAGGCTCACTGCTTGCAGGTATGGTGCTCTGGGTTGTCCACCACAGTGCAGCAGGCTAGCCATGTTCAAGTGGGGCTGCTTTGGCTCTGCAAGTCCCCAGCTGTCTGCAGTGCTAGGAGACAAGGCTCCCCCCACCAGTGCTGTTGTGGTCAGCATCTCTAGTTGTTCCTACAGCCGCTGCCTGTCCCACAGCTGCTGTCTGTCCTGCAGCTTGGCAGTAGTTTTTATCTGGCAACCCCATGGAGCCCTTGGCAGCTGCTGTACACAGTGATGAGAGAGAACCACATTTCCATTTGGTTGATGTGCAGCTCTGACCAGCCTAGGTGCACCGATGGGGGTGCGTTCAGGTATTCAGCACAGGGGGCTTTGCAGGGATACTTGTGTGTGATGTTTCAGAAACAGAGAAATCTCCAGTCCCTACTGTTACATGGCAGCATCCTCAGTTGGGAGCAAGGGGAAGAAAGCTGAGCCTAGGAGCAAGGGGGGGTTGCTCAGCCTTAAAAGCAAGTCTGACAGCACTGAATGAATGAGACGTAGAAGGAGAAAGCAGGCTTGGGTGAAACCCTGCTTGTCTGGAGGCAGCAGGGAAGGGAAGGCTTTGGGAGGGGAACACTGCGGAGGCTTGAGCTGTGATGCGCTGTGGAAGTGTGGGGGCAGAGTGTCTGGGAAATCCGTGAATCCACTCACCAGCTTGATGAGGAAAACACCAAGAAAGGAGAATCAGGGAGATGGTGGGAGAGCATAGGCACTGCAGGCCCGCATATGATCCCACTAAGGTTTCTTTGCAGTTTTGCTAATGTGCCTGTCTCAGCAGCTCGACTCAAGAGCTGGAGAGCAAAGGGGTCTGGAGTAACACGTGGGTGGGCAGGGCCTTCAGCCAGCTGGGACAGAGTGGAAGGGGACTCATGGAGCAAACGCAGCCAGGTTGTGTGAGAAGGGCAGGGCAAGGTGCTGAAGTGGGAAAGTGAGCAGCGGGCACATATGGGGCAGCATGTTCCCTGCACTGGAGCATGATCTGCAGTCCTGGCAGAGCTTGGTGCCAGCAGAGCTCAGTGGAAGCTGCTGGCACAGCCACCACTAAGTGCTTTGATCCTCTTTCGAAATGGAAATCACAGGGCAGCTTGTGGTGGGCCAGTATGGCAGCCAGGCTCTGCATGTGGCACAACTTCATCCCAGGTGTCGTGTAATGAATGAGATTGATGGGACGACATGGAGGCTGTTTGCCCTGCAGGTTGGGGTCCTGTCCTGCTCTACATATTGTTTAGAAACAAATTGGGACAGCATTTCCACTGGTCTCAATCAGTGTGGCTGCAATTGTGATCTAAACCTCTCCTGTCAGTCTGTGGTGTGTTGGTGAAGCAGTCCCTTTGGCAGCTTGCTGAGACCTATGGCCTTTCTCCCACCCATTATTTGCCATATGTGTTCTCTACAGAGGCGCTGAGCTTTCTGCAAAGGGGAGGTGGTAGGAGCATGGGTTTTGCATCTGAAAAGTACAGTGAGGTGGCAAGTGCTCTGCACAGCCAGCTTCTTGCTATCTGGAAGCATCTCTGTCTTTAAAACATTGACAATTCCTGCTTAATTCACAGAGATGCTCCAATAATAAACACTCTGGTTTTGAAGCTTTTGAGAGCTGCAGCAAAAACCATGGGGAAAATGACCTGATTGGGCTCCCTGGGGAAAGAAGGGGATGGAATTGCTTGCTAACAATATGCTGGAAGCCAAGGTCATGTTTACCCACATGGAGGGAGATGGGAAAACCAGGCAGGAAGGCAAATGTGGCTGCAGGACAGAGCTGAGGCAGCTGCCTCATCTCAGGTGCTCCTCCAGTCTGTAAACAAGTTATGAAGGTGCCTTGGCATGCTGGACATCCGAACACTGTGGAAATGATTGGTTCACTGGCACTCCTGCTCTTGTTGGAGGCTTCCTCCCCTAGCTGGGCTTCCAGCAGGCACAGGTCGTGTGATGGAGTGCAGACAGTGCAGGGTGGCAGTGTCATGTTGGATTCTGCCATCCTCAGGTACAAGAGGAGCCAGGCCAAGGCTCACCCCCAGAGCTCAGCCAGCCCTGGGCATCCCTCACCCTGCTGGTTCCTGGTACTGTCTGTGTGGATGTGTCACCAGCTCCCCTGTGGGTCCTCACGGCATCCATTGTGGCTGTGCCCATGAGTGAGGCAGTGACAATGTGGCCACCCTGGCCTGTGCTGGCTGTGCCTGGGCTAGACACATCTGCAGGATTCAGCTGGGAGGTGTTGTGCCTCCAAGGCCCCTCCCTCTTTCCCTCTCTTTCACTGGCAGCAGTTCCCACCCTGTGCAGGACAAGCGTGGTGGAGGGGATTCTGCATGAAGCAGCCATCAACCCTAGGGGCTAAGTGGCTTTGTGCCTGCTCCTGCCTTTCCCCAGGACGTGCCCCTTCTGCTGTGCCATGACCCTGGGGTTTGGCAGCAGCCATGAGGCTCTATTCATCTGAGCTGCTGAAATGTGGCATTGTGCGAGCTGGGGAGGTCTCACATCAGGCACTGGTTCAGAGGGCTTGTTAGTTATGGACTGTGGTGCAGGCATGCTTACTGTGATGCTTTTCTAAGTGACAACTCTGTCCCAACCTGCCACAGCCATATAAGCTCCACTAGCATCGAGCTGCAGCTGCTGGAAAAAGCCCACAGCTTCTTTGGGTTTGCAGTTGGGCCCTGACCCTGGGAGAACTATGGAGCTCTGCTCTCTCCTGGGTGCTCACACTGCTGTGGTGGGAACAGACTCAGGGATGGACCTGATGGGCCCTCCTGGAAGGGGCCCAGTTTGCTCTTCACACACTGTGAGCCCTTGGTCCCTCCTGCAGCAGGGGCAGCAGGTGCTGGTGGTCTGATGATGCCAAGGGGCTGGGTAGCACCTATGTCCAGCAGAGCTGGAGGGGAATGCATGAGCCCACCCCCAATGGGACCAGTGAAGGGGGTGGAGGGAAGTGAGAAGGAGCAGCCAGGCTGTGGTGGAAGAAGGAAGTGATGGGTTTGGGGGCCATTTCAGACACCTTCCTAGGGACACTGCCCTTGCACTGGTGACTTTGCATGTAGGCTCAGCCACCCTGAACTCCTGTATTGTGCTCTCAACAGCCTCAGCAACTCCTCCTGCTAAGAGCCAAAAGCATGGTCTCCAGAGCTGGTCCTCCAGGCGGATGCCCCATGTGCTCACAGGGGCTGGTGCTACTGCCAGGGCCAAGTGTGGATGGCATGGGGCAGCAGAGCCAGGCTGAGCCCCACAGAGCAGGCACTCAAAAGCCAGCCTGGCTCAGCCTCCTCACCCTCAACAAGAAGCTTTGAGCTGGAGATTTGAGAGTAGCACTGGCTGGAGAGCGGCAGTGCAGCCCTGTCTGCCACCCCTGGACAAACTCCATGCCAGAGCTGAGACTGTTGCCTGGGGCTCAACATGTGGACTTGGGGGGAAGAAAGTTTAGAAACTTTCTGTGAATAATTCAGGGTGATTTAGGGCCCAAGTGATTGCTTTCATGTAGAGATCCCATATTAATTAAAAGAAGTGTTTTGAAGTGATTCATGCAGAGAGCATGTAAATTTAAATCTGAAGTTGAAAAGCAGCCCTTTGTCGCGTTTCCTCCATGGAAAAAATAAACGGGCAGTGACCTTCAGAGCCTTCTTCTGCCCTCAGCCAAGCACTCAGCGTTAGCAGGAGCGGAGCTGGGTTGTGTCTCCCTTGCCACAAGGCCAGCCCGTCCTGCCTGTCCCCTTCCCTGCCCCAGTTCCCAGCTGGGCCTGGCACAGATGCAGCTGTCTGTTTCTGACTATCCTGGGTTGTGGTTCTGACCTGGCTCTTGCTCTCTCATACATGCTGCAGAGCATGTGGCTAGGTGAGATTCACAGGCCTGTCGGTGGGATGCAGTGTCACCAAGCAACTTTGCCATCCCCTGGGCAGCAGCGTCCATTGCCTGGAGCAGGTTTGCTCTCTTTGTTTGCTCTTTCCTGCGTTCACCACAGCTTTTCTGGGAGAAGGAGATACTGTGCTACAAAGTGTCATGTAGGAAGGACAAGGACAATATAAAGGTTTCAAAAATCTGTAACTTAGTACCCCAGTGAAGGACTGGGATAGTAAGCACTGAAACTGCCTTCTGCTGTGTTCCTGGCCCCAGCTTTGTGTTTGCATTGTGTATGGATCAGGAGGTGGAAGCAGAGGTCCCACCCACCATGTGGGCTCTGACCATGCTGGCCATGGGAACACAGCTGGCTGGGAAGTCCAGAGGGAAAAACGGCCATCCCAGATGCAGCATGTGAAGCTGTCCATGTTTGCAATTTCCTGTGTGAATGCAGTGTTTTGACCTCCCAGAAAAAACCTTTAGTTGATTTTATAATATATGTTATGTGTGTGTGTGTGTGTGTGTATATACACATATATATATATATATATATATATATATAATATGCATGATATATATATATTTTCTTCTGAATTTAAGAGGGGACCCTGAACTGGGGATACGGCATCCTCCATGCCTGCGTCTCCATGGTGCATGTGGGGCTGGGCAGTGGGTGTGATGAGTTCTGTCTCTCTCTTTTGCAGTGCCAGGGCAGAGTAACCAGCAGCTATGACGACAGAGACGGGCCCTGATTCAGAAGTGAAGAACATGCAGGAGGAGGCCCCACAGCAGCAGCAGCTGGAAGCAGCCACGCACGGCCCCACTGCCACAGCTGCTGGCATTGCCAGCCGGGACGCTGAGGCCAGCGAGAAGCCTGGAGCACAGCCTGATAGCCGGAACACAGAGCCGGTGAGTTCTGCAAGGGGCAGGATCCCAGGTGGACAGGAGGGAAAGGCTGACTCTGGGTGACTGTCAGGGAAGGTAACTTTAGCTTCTAGCTGTTTCCAGCAGCTTTTGGTGTCAGACCAGAACAGGGCACTTGGCACACCCAGCCCACAAACTGCTGCCTGCAGAGAGGAGGGAGCCCTAGCTGTTATATGCCAGACCCTTTATTTATAAGTGCTGTTTTCTGCTGTGCTGTGACTCTGCAGCCTCTTTTCCTTCCCTGGGGGTTGGGCACGCTCCCTGCTGCAGGGCAGGGGCCCAGTAAGCAAGGTGCAGGCTTTGGACAGCCACTTTCTCAAGTGGCAATTTGTGTCCTGAGCACTGCAGACTGGAGATGCACGTGAGAAGCCTATGCAGGTCAGCAGATGAGCTTTGTGCTCGCAACAAGGGCAGAAGGCAGCAGGTGGCCAAGCATCCTAGAAACTGAGCTGCCTGGCTGGGAGCAACAGGTGCACCCCAATGGCCACAACCAGGCAGGGAGCCTCAGCTCCATACTGCTGCCAATGCTGCCAGCAGCCATAGAGCTGCCTCAGCTCCCCAGGCAGAGAGGTCTCAATTGCTGAACCAGCATCAGACTCAGGCATACTTTTTCCAGAGTCCATCCATGACTATGCCAACAGTGGACTACTGCACTGATAAGGGATGGAAGCAGAGCAGGTTACCGTATGCATCTCTCACCCTCCAGGGCACAGACATGGAGGAGAAGGACTACAGCGAGACAGATGGGCTATCTGACAAAACAACGCCTAGCAAGGCCCAGAAGTCACCCCAGAAAATCAACAAGAAAGTCAAAAGTGCTCTCTGCAGAGTGACCCTGCTCGATGCCTCTGAGTATGAGTGTGAAGTGGAGGTGAGTCCCGTGTTTGGGGAAGGTACACTGGAACTGAATAGGAGATGTGTCAGCCCAAGGCTGGTCTCAAGCAAGTCCCCAGTGTCATGGTTCTTCCAAGGACAGCTTTGTAGTACCTCTCATACAGACAAAATGATCCACAGGAATAACTTTTCAAGTTGGAATTTCAAAACAAAGAAAAAGTCTGGAAAGACAGACCCTAGAAGGCAATTTCAGCCCAGAGAGCCCAAATTTGTTAGCTAGTTGCTATCAAAAACAGTGTCTAGAAAGCAGAAGCTTAATAGTTGGAGAAAAAGCTGTGCCTTCAAATATGTGCCTGGAAATATGTGCATGACACGTACATATGTCAGTGTATCTGTTGACACCTCAGGAGTGCAGCATGTTTGCTGTCCCACATGCCAAGGCAAAGGATGTGTGTGCGTGTGTTTGTGTGAAGAGGCCAAAGTGTGCAGGCACACATGGCTCCCCCAGACAGGTTTGCGTGTGCACATGGACCCACACACATTTTGGCAGTGCTACAAACTGCACCTCATTCCATCCTCACTGTTTTCATCTTCTCATCCCTCACTGCTCCTCCCCATGGAGCTAGCAGTGCAGGGACTGTCTGGGAGCTGTGCTGAAGCCTGGCAGTGGTGTGTGTGTGTGTGAGTAAACAAAGGTGATCCACATGTGCTGTTGATGCATCTTGTGTGTGTGGGCAGGGCAGAGGGCCAGGCACGTGTCTGCTCACTATTTGTGCACCATCACATGCATGCAGTATGAGCACATGGTTGTCTGGTAGTGGCTGTCACTGCAGGAAGGAACAGATGGACTGGTGCCCACCAGAGGCCGCCTTATGCTGGGATGTGCTACATGGCTGCTTGATCTTCTATCAAGCACAGTGAGGAGACACCCAGCATTAAATCAAGGCTAGCATTTGGACTGGTTCCTGCAGTAGGGAACTGGGGAGGGGGCTCTGAGCCTGCTCAGAGGAGGGGTGTTTGCTAGGAGAGCACATTTCTGTCCCTCACACATGCTGCTGTCTCCTGCCTGCAGGATCGAGGGGACAACGCTTCTCTGACATGTAGCATCTTCCTGGTGAGAGGGACGTTTCTGAGAAACTTTATGTGAAAAATGCAAATGCTGAGACTGTTCAGAAGCAGAAATCCTCAAGCCTTTGCCAGGGAGACCTTTGCACTTGCTGCTGATGAGCGAGTGAAGGCATCTTGTTCCCAGTATGATTACAGCAGCTTGTGAGCTGGCTGCGTACAGCAGACCTGCATCTTATGCAGGTCCTGGTTCTACGAGGTCTCAATTGTGCAGGATTAATGAATGTAGGGAATGTACCTTCCTGCTCTCTGTGGCTGCACTGGAAAAGTGAGTGCCCCAAAGCAGCTACTGGGGGGTGAGGAGCTGGCCTTTGGGCTGCAGCACTGGCAGCAATGGCTTTGGTGTCTCAGCTCTGGCAGCCCTAACTGTCATTTCAGTGGTAAGGACTGCCACAGCAAGCCTTAGTGACTGTGACAAGATGGATCCTTGTGAAAATGTAAGCTCCCTTGAATAGGAACTAAAGCAGAGCACTTGCCATAACTGCAGTAGGCTTGTGGGACAAAGGAGTGAGTTTGGTCAGCCCTGAAACAGCAATGAGGTGGTGTCATCTTTCCCCAGGCCCTATTTGTGTTTTCCAAGCAAAACCTGCATGCAAACAGAAATCTGGGTTGTACAATGGCTGGCTGCTTCATTATCAGAACAATACTTCTCACCAAGCTTAGGAAAAGCAGTGCTTTACAGTCCCAGCTCCCGCTGAGCTTTGTTTTTAGTCTGGTTTTGTTCCCAGTGCTTGATGTTGGCAGTGTGCTGGGGCATGTGGGACTTTATTCATGGTAAGGTTGACTTCTCTGTTGCAGTGCAAAGGATAGGGTTGACTCAGCAAACAGGGAGCTTCTGCTCTCTGGAAAAGTCATTTGGGACATAGGGTAGAGAAGAAGAAATTGTTTAGCACAGAAAGATATGTGCTGAGTTTCTTCTTTCATTTTGTTAGGCCCCATAGAAATAGTTCTGCCATGCCTACACACGGGGATTGTTAATGTTAAATTCTGTAAAAATCAAAAAGAGAGGTCAAACCATTTGATGTGGTAGCCCTTGAGATGCTGTGTACTGAACTCTTGCCTTGGAAGTCTGGGTCAACAGGAAAGGGAGGATAACAGAAAGGGTGTTGGTTAGTGCTCAGTCCTGAAAAAGATTTGGAGGTCAAGAGGAACTCAAGGCTGGGAGTCTGTCTGCAGTGGGATGCTAGAGCAGTGCTAGTTTCTGTGTGAGTGGTGCTCTTGGCTCTAGTGCCAGATTGCTTGGTGGAGGTACTTGAAGGAATGGGTGTCTCAGAGACAGGAGGTCCAAAGCTCTTGGGCCAAAAAGGCTGTGAGTGTGGAAGAAACACATTAGCATCTCCATAAGCAATCCTTATTGCCTCACTGACACTGGTATGAAGCAAAAATATACAGGGAAGTTCAAAGGACTGAGGGCCCTTCCATCACAGCATGTGGCTCAGACTTTTCATGCCTTTCTTTCATCCTGCTGTGCCTTGGGACCTGGCCACCACTTGCAGCTGGGGAGAGTGTTGGGAAGGAGCTTGTTCTTCAGGCAGCATAATTTCCCAAGAGGTGTGGGGGTGTATTTGTGCCAGCCCTGTGATATGGGTCAGAGGTGCCTGGGTTGGCTGAATCCCACCCTGGTTTGGCACCACCCTCCCCTGGTGCCTTTGTCTTCTGGCTCCCTGTGAGCATCTCCATATCTTCTGCAGAAGCATGCCCGAGGCCAGGTTCTCTTTGACATGGTGTGTGAGCACCTCAACCTCCTGGAGAAGGACTACTTTGGCCTCACTTTCTGCGACTCCGACAGCCAGAAGGTGAGCTTGGGGGACCCCTCTGCAGCCACCCCACTGCTGAGCAGGGCAGCCCACCACTTGACATGCTGTCTCCTCATTTCAGAATTGGCTGGACCCCTCCAAGGAGATCAAGAAGCAGATCCGCAGTAAGTAACTAGAGAGGGCCACTCCCCTGCAAGTGCTGGGGCCCACAGCTCTCCCAGGTAGCTCAACCCCAGGTAGTGCTCATGGCTGAGATGAGCCCTTGCTGCTGCTTGTAACTTTTTGCCCTCAGTGGGTTCCAGGCAGTGCAAGGCAGGGCAAGTTCATGGGACAAGGCCAGGATGCAGCTGGGCACCTGATGCTCCAGGGTGTCATGCATGGGAAGCCTGTGCTGGAAGTGGCTGGAAACTGGGCCCCGTGTGAATTGCAGTAGGGAAACTCACTTTCTCTCCATTCCCACATCTGTCCTTCACCCCGTCCCCATTGTGATGCCCCTGACTGCTCTGTCCTCGCTGTGCCCTCTACAGGCACACAGGAGGTTCCTGCAAGGTGTGACACTGACGCAGGGTTGGGGCCAGGATGTATTGCTTATTCATCTGTGTATTAGCCCTATCAGCCTCCCCTTCTGCTTGTGACAGGTGTGAGCATCAAAGGATCTGTGCCACTGGAGATCTGGGAGAGAGTGGCTGAGACCTCATCACTCCCTCTGTGCTATTTCCTCCTATCCTGAGTGGGGAGGATGGGGTTATGGGAGGCATGGGAGTGAGCTTGCTTGGATGGGTACCAGGATACAGGAGGGTCTTTGTGATGCTGCCTTGCCAGACCAAGCACTTGTGAGGCAGAAGGGCCAGTGCCCATGGTGTCACCCCACTGGGATGTGTATGGCTTCTGCTGTGATTTGTGTTTTGGCATGAAGCAATCTGAGATGATGACTCCCAAGGTTGTGATGCTTCTCTCTCCTCAGCTGTTTTGGTTTAGTTGACCAAATCACATTAGTCCTTCTGGCCAGAGCAGCTGGGAGCTACTCTCAGGGGTTCATCTTCCTCGTGGCAGCTTCTGGAGCTTCCTTGTTCCTGCCCTGCATTGGGTTTGGGTGGAGTCCTGGGACACTAGTTAAATGCCTGGATGCTCTGTGCTGTCTGCTGGCAGCCATCATAAGCCCTGCCCTTACTGCTCCCTACCTTTGCTAGGTGGGCCCTGGAACTTTGCCTTCACTGTGAAGTTTTACCCTCCTGACCCTGCTCAGCTCACAGAGGACATCACAAGGTGAGGTTTGCTATTGGGGCCCCCCACACAGTGCGTCCATGATGGACAGAGCTGCTGAGGCAGCTTCCAGAGGAGTGGGCAGGAGTGCATGGAGGGGCAATGCTCAGGCAGGGCAGCAGCTGGGTGGACAGGGTAGATAGATGTCAGGGTCTCACTGCCTCTGTGCATGGCACCTCTAAATTGTGCAGAATGGGCCTGGGAAAGTGTCAGTGGGAGATGGAAGTGCCCACAGGGAGTTAAGCAGTGTGGGTGTCCTTTACATGCACTGTCACAGAATGCTCAAGAGCACACACCTCTGTCCCATCCTTACTCTCTGCTTCCTCTTGCAGATACTACTTGTGCCTGCAGCTGCGTGCAGATATCATCACGGGGCGACTGCCCTGCTCCTTTGTCACGCATGCCCTGCTGGGCTCCTATGCTGTGCAGGCCGAACTGGGTGACTACGATGCTGAGGAGCACGTAGGCAACTATGTCAGTGAGCTCCGCTTTGCTCCCAACCAGACACGGGAGCTGGAGGAGCGCATCATGGAGCTGCACAAGACCTACCGGTGAGCCCCAGCTGGCAATGAGGGAAGGCACAGAGGAGCTGGCCTATGCCCCACTGGGCATCTGGTCATGTGTCCCCTTCTCTGTCTCTCTGCAGGGGCATGACCCCTGGGGAAGCAGAGATTCACTTCCTGGAGAATGCCAAGAAGCTCTCCATGTATGGGGTGGACCTACACCATGCCAAGGTACTGCACTGTGGAGCTGTGGGAGTTGATGGCCAGCAGTGGGCCTCATCCTGCCATAGTGCCAGCACACCACTGGAATTAGGGGCTTGCTGTAGGTGCAGCTCTGTTTCCTACAGTTGGTTCAGTGATGTGTGGGAGAGATTCAATGCCCAAGCTCCTTTGGGGTGCCCCTTGGGCACAAGAGCAGAACAGGACTGAAACTATTAGTTCAATAGGGGTACATGCAAAGTTATGCATATGGGGTGAGAAAAAGACATGCTGGGGACATCCAGCTGGAAAGCAGCTTAGCAGAAAAGGCCCAGGGACTCCTGGTAGACAGCAGGTTGAACATGAGTCAACAATGTGCCCTTGTGGCAATACTTTGCCAAAGCTATCCTAGACTGCATTGGGCAGAGTACTGCCAGCATGCTGAGAGGTGATCTTCCCCCCCTACTCTGCACTGGTGAGGCCATGTCTGGACTGCTGTGTTTAGTTCTGGACTCCCCAGTATGCTAAGGGCATGGAACTACTGGATAAAATGTAACAAAGGACCATGAGGATAATGAAGGATTTGAAGCACCTCCTGTATGAAGAAAGGATGAGGGAGCTCGGACTTTTCAACTTGGGGAAGGCTCAGGGTGTTCTCAGTGAGGTGTATAAATACCTGAAGGGAAGGTTCAAAGAGAATGTAGCTAGAATCTTTTTAGTGGTAAACACTGACAAGATCAGAGGCAATGGCTAGAAATTAAAACACAGAAAGTTCCCTCTGAACATCAGGAAGCACTTCTGCTGTATGGCACAGGTTGCCCAGAGAGTTTGCAGGGTCTCCTCTTTGGGGATTTTCAAAATCTGCCTGGATATAATCCTCCACTACTGTGGGTGGCCTTGCTTGAGCAGAGGTGTTGGACCAGGTCCAAAGGTCCCTTCCACCTTTAACCATCCTGTGATTCTGTGACCTCTGCCAGCTGGTTGCAAGTAGCCAGAGTGCTGAGTAGGAGGAAGCATGGTACCCCTGGATGGACTGACTCTTACTGGGCAGCTGAGCAGTTTCTTCCTTTCCTTCTTGCCTCCTCCAGGACTCAGAGGGTATTGACATCATGCTAGGAGTCTGTGCCAATGGCCTCCTCATCTACAGGGACCGACTGAGGATCAACCGTTTTGCCTGGCCCAAGATCCTTAAAATTTCCTACAAGAGGAGTAATTTCTACATCAAAATCCGCCCTGGTGAGGTGAGTGCCATGGGTACAGCATGACCCAGGGGCACAGCAGGGTGCCTGCTGCGCCAGAGTGGGGCCGTGGTCTTCATCTGGCTTCATCCTTAGCCTCTAAGTTCCAAGGTAATGGCCTTAGCTGGCTGAGAGAGCACAGCTCCTGTGGTGAGGGAGGCTTTGAGCAAGTGTTTTCTCATTTGCACTCTTGCTCTCTCATTGCCTTTCATGTCTTTGGCCACAGCAGTTCAGAGATCTCAGAGCATATCATAATCCTTTTGCCATAAGCCAGACACTTGTAAGCCTGTTGATACAGGGAGGTGTCCCAGGAATGGGGTTGCAGAATAATTTTTAAAATTTTCTTTCATACTTCAAACACATGAAAAAAACTCCTAAGACTCCTAAAACATTAGGAGTTTTTTTCTTTTGTTTTCTATCAGTGCTTTTTGACTTTAATTTCAGTCTGTTTACTTTTACATGCACTGATGGGAGAACTCATTTCCACCCATATTCTTCCCAGCGGACAGTGCATCTGAAATGGAGTGAGAGATACCCTCACACCAAAATAAGCTGTAAAAGTTTTCTGTTTCTTGAGGGAATTTCTCTTGTACTGAAAATGAATTTACAATTGAGGAAGGTGCTTAGGCCAAAATTGTAATGGCATAATTCCACCAGCCTTTGGGGCTGGGCATGAGCCTTTCCAGGACTGGTTTGAAGAAGATGTTTTGTATGGCCATAGCTGCTGCCAGGGGAACCTGAAGGTCTTGGCATGTCAGGTCCCATCCCATGGCATCCCTTTGGGCAGGATCTGCCTTTAACTGCATGTCTCTGTCTCCCCCAAGTATGAGCAGTTTGAGAGCACCATTGGCTTCAAGCTGCCCAACCACCGCTCCGCCAAGCGTCTCTGGAAGGTCTGCATAGAGCATCACACCTTCTTCAGGTGAGGAGCCCTTTTCCAGGCCTTGGAGGCAGGCATGCTCCTGTCTCTGGCCTATCCCAGCATGCTCACTTGAGGAAGGGGAGTGTCCTGGGTGCCTGCACCCTGCCTGAGTAAGAGCTGGCTGTCCTCTCACCTGCAGCAGGGACTATCCATCCCATGCCTTGTGCCCCCTGCATCGAGCCACTCTGCCTTTTGTGTGCAGGGAAGGAAGAGTTCTGCTTCTCTCTCAGCATCAGACCTGCTGTGTCCCAATTATGGTAGGCATGGGCTTGTCTTTCCCACGTACGAGGCCATATCTGCTCCATTGGCTCCACCACACACCACTACCAAGAACCACTTGCAGAGGTTCAGCCCTGAACTTCCTGTAATGCTAAATTCCCTCTGTCACTCCTTTAGCCCTGCACTGATGCCATCCCAACTCCTTCACTGTGATCTCAGCTCTGCTCTGCACACTGGTATCTGGGGCCAGTGCTGGGGTCACAGCTGGGACTCACTGACCATCTCATCTCTCTGTCCCCAGGCTGGTATCTCCAGAGCCACCCCCAAAGGGCTTCTTGGTGATGGGCTCTAAGTTCCGCTACAGCGGGCGGACACAGGCACAGACACGGCAGGCCAGTGCCCTCATTGACCGCCCAGCCCCCTTCTTCGAGCGTTCCTCCAGCAAACGGTACACCATGTCTCGCAGCCTTGATGGAGGTATGCCCCAATCTGGGCAGGGGGAGTGAGATCAGTCCTCTGGTGGGAGCAAGAAGGCCACTTTGGAGGGGTGGGCAGCCAGGGTTACTTCCATGGGCTCTCTCTATACCAGATTCCCCTGGCAGAGGGTCTTTCTGCCCCCCTAGTGGTACCTCAGACTGTGTGAGCAGCAGGGACATGGGTATGGCTGGCTCCAGCTGCCTGGTTCACAGAGCAGGTATGAAGGCCTGGGTGGTGCAAGGAGTGATAAAGTACTAAGTTTTGGGTCATCACCATCAAGAATCCCTTCCCTGCTGCAGGTCCTTTTGGGGCTCCATTGCCACTGACTCTAAGCCAGACTGGGGCAGGGGGCAGAGGGCTGGGGCAGGCAGGACCAGGGGTGATGGCTCACTGCCCGTGACCTGGGCTCTCCCTGCATGCACAGAGTTCTCACGCCCAGCCTCCGTCAGTGAGAACCATGATGCCGGAGCAGAGGGTGAGAAACAGGAGGAGGATGGTGAGTTTGGCAGTGGGAGACGATCTGAGACAGAGGATGAGGAGGTGACTACCCCGACGAAGATCAAGGAGCTGAAGGTACAGACCTCGTGGGCAGCAGACCATGGAGGTGGATGGGTGGGCTGGCAGATAAGCAGATAAGCAGGGGTATGGGACACAGGCATCAGGACTCTGTCTTCCTCTCTTGGGGCTGGGCTGCAGGTGGAAAGGATTGCACTGAGGAACGGTCATCTGAAACCCTTTCTCCATGAAGCAAGCCCCAGTTCTTGCTATGACCCATCTAGTCTGGGGACATGGCTCTTGGCATCACCAGTGGGCGTGGAGCGATCATGCCCTACCCAGAAGCAGCTACAATTCTCCCAGCACCTTCCAGGTTGCCTCATGGATAGTCCCCAGGCAAGGCTGGTTGCCGGACAGCCTCACTCTGGCGTGCGGGACCAGAAAGGGCCAAGTGTGCCAACAGTCACCACCATGCAAGCAGGGAGTTCCTTGGCTGCTGGGAGCATACTGGGCCCCTGTTCCATTGGTGCCCCATAGTTACATACCCATACCCGGCACCCTGCTGGTGTGCAGTCATGCCCCTCTGCTCTCTGCCCACTCCTGGACTGGCTTGGGATGCACCCCAGTCCAACTCAGCCTTGCACTGAGCAGGGGATTCAGTCCTTTTGTGCTGCTACCAGTCCTGGCTGTGGGCAGGGGTCTGTGTACACACCCAAATTCAACTGAATTGTGATGCTTATGAGAATTTCCCTGGACTGACTCTGCTGGTTACTTTTAACCCTCTCTTTGCTGCCAGCCGGAGCACGAAACAACCCCCAGGCACAAGCAGGAGGTATTCTCTCTCTGGAGTATCTAGTTCTCATCGGTGCATCATATTGTCCATTCTTTTCAATGCACCACTGTGTGTCACCCTATTTACTGGAATACAAGATGCACTGAGGTGGGGAGTTTGACCTACTGGAGACTCCCAGTGAGCAGACAGCTGGGGATCTGCCCCAGAGTACACACAGCATCTTCTATCCCACTAAGTAAGGTAGTCCTAACTGTATGTGTGAGCAAGAGCCCTCCCAAGGCACATCGGCCAGGCCACTATGCCGGGTCCTTGGCCCGTTGGGAACACCTGGCTTCTGCTCGTGTTACTGACTCCTCCATGTCCTCTCCTCATGTTTTCTCTTTGTCCAACCCTGTGGCCTTAATCTTCCCACTGAAGGGACAGACCTGGTGCAAGCTGGCCCTATCGCTTCCACCTCCCTGTGAGACCCTGTGCCCTGGCCTGCTCTCTGCTTTTGCCTTCCCTGACCTGGGGACTGCATCACGTGTCCTGCTTTCATGAAGCTCCTTGCTGCCTTTCTGCCCTGCCAGAAGCAAATGAGTCCCTGAGCCCATCAGGGGTACACCCTGACACCCAGCCCAGTGGAGTGCCATGGAGCAGCTCCCCATCTGAGTGTGGCTGGCCTGGCCAGGGTGTGTTGTCACAGCTGGGAGAGAGTCTGTGCTCTCCTCTTGCACAAATTGCCCATGTCTGCAGCGCCTCCTTCCCCTCCGAAATGTCCAGCAGAGATCTCCTCAGCCTGGGTCTGCTGATTTATCCCAGCCTTAAGTTCAGAGCTGTGCTCTGAAGGTTTTCTCCTCCACTCACACTGGGGTTTGGATCATCACTGGACCAGTCAGCAGAGGCCAAGGAAGCGCTAGCATCTTCAGCTGTGTGGCCATGAGCCAGGGCTTGCTGTGCTTCAAGCACACAGCCATTGCCATCCTGCTCAGCACAGCAGGGCAAACCCTACTGGTGCAGCAGGCTGGCATCTTGCTCCACAGCCCCGTGCTGAGCACGGTCCCTCCACTGTCTGCCTCATTGCTTACTCCTGCTGCATGTGCATGTGCTGCTCCTGCAGCCCCGTGCGCCTGGCACTACCCTGAGCCGATAGAGGTGGGCAAACTGTGAAGCACATGCAGATGGATCGGGGAGCTTTAAATAAATTCTGCTGAGTCTTCAGGATCTGGAAATTTGTCTGGGCTTTCCATGAGACTCCTTTGTGTCTCTGAGATTTTGCTGAGGAGAAGTATGGGAGAGGGTAGATAATTTAGTTGACTCGTTTCGAACCTCAAACCAGGTTTGAGTTTGAAGTGAAAGCCAGGTTCTTGTTCTGAGCTAGTTTGCCCACCTCTGTGGCAGAACAAAAGGAGCTATCCTGGTGTCTGTAACATCAACAAAGGATGCTTTAACACCTAAACCTCACCATGCACTTGAATTCTCTGAGTTGTCCTCTTTCTATAGCAGGCCAGGCCCAACCCCCAACCCCAGACTGCTGCTGGGCTCAAGCTGGTCCATGCTGTTGCAGGCTTGGATCCATGTTGGTCATCTCTGACCTTTGTTGGTAGCGTTTGACCCAGAAACCCACTTTGAAGGCACTCCATTAGAAATGCCAGTGGGTGACTCCTGGAAGCTCTTGCTCAGATCATGGTTTCCTATCCTCCTGGGACAGAGGCTCTTGGTCCCTTTGTGTCTTGCATGTGGGAGCAGCAGAATTTTGGTTATTGATATTTCTTGTGCTGGTCCCCAAGGAGACCCCTCTCTCTTCCCCCAGATGGTTCATCTCATCCTCACAAGGCCATGCTGGAGATGCCCTAGGGGCATTGTTGTGCCCTTCACTGAGGAAAGCCCATTGTGGGATGTTCTGCCACTCCCTGCCTTATTGTTGCTCCCCACAATGGTCTTAGTGAGAACTGCAGCCCAGGGTGCTCAGATATGCTGATCATTGGGCTCTTGAGACCCTAAATACAAGCCCAGTATAAAGCAGACTCACTCCAGTGTCTCTGCTTGTCTTTTTGGCCTTGGCTAGTGCTTTAATCATTGTTACATTCCTTTCTCCTTCCCCAAGTTTTTAGACAAACCAGAAGATGTTTTGCTAAAGCATCAGGCCAGCATCAATGAGCTGAAACGGACCCTGAAGGAGCCCAACAGCAAGCTGGTTCACAGGGACCGGGACAGGAGGCTGCCTTCCTCGCCAGCCTCTTCCTCACCCAAGCATGAGGAGGAGACGCCGAAGGGAACCCCAGAAAAGGCCAGCGAGGTTTGTTCTGCGGCTGTCTTACGGAGGGGATCAGACTGTTCACAGGGAGGTGTTCATCAGTTGGTGGGCTCCTTGTCTCTGTCTCCACTGTAGCCCTGAGGGAAGCATGGTGGGAATTATGTGTTGGGCACAGTGGGTAAAAAGAGGTGCCCCTGGCCAGGCTATTGTCTCTAAGTTTGTTAATGAGCTAACTGTTTTCATGCTGCTGGTAGTGAGCTCCCCTTGTGCCCAGGCACTGCGCGGTTTCAAATGTATCCTTTTCTGAGGGCTGTGAGTTGGGCTGAGGCTTTGTTAGCCCATGAGATGGGTCTTCTTCACCCCTTACCCTACAGAGCTCCTGCTTGTCAGCACCTGTTACAGGTCTTTTCCAAGGGTGTTCCACCAATGTGGAACCAGGCTCCTGTGCTTAAGTGTCCCATGTTGCACTCAGCTGCCAAGACCTGGTTGATGGGAGCAGGAGGAGGGTGAACAGTTCTACTGTGGGATGCTGCATTCATGTCCTTTCCTCCTGGCATTTTATCTTCTGGCTTTGCAATGGGACCTCTGAGAATGGAAAGTGCCAGGGTTCCAGAGCGGGAGGGCTGGGCTGTGCAGACCCCTCCCACTGTTAGAGGGGAGCGGGTGCGCTGCAGCTGAGTGCTGTGTGGGGTTGGGCTATCTGGCTCAACTCAGGCAGCATGTAGTGTGGGCATCGGTGAGCTGTGAGCACCAGACACTCTCTGCTTGTTCTCCAAACATTGGCATTCTCTTCTCTGTGAGAGCTGTGTAGCCCACACAAACAATGCATAATGTGCCCCCTGTGCCACAGCTCTGTCCTGAGATGGTCTCATTGAGAAAATGAGGACACAGCACTGCACTGCAAGGAGGTGCCTGCGCAACTGGAGATAATGGGGCTGGCTGGGTTGGGGTTGCAGAGCATCCCAGGCAGAGGTGAGCTGAGAGAGCTCACAAACCCTCATCAAAGCACCAAGATGGGAAGAGGAAGAAGGGTTTCTACGCTATATCTGTTTTACAAGCAGATATATGTATGTGCAAAGAAAAACCTAAATGGAGCATCTAGAGTTGTCATAGTTGTGATCTCTGTTCATCCATCCATCCTTTCGTTCTTTCCTTCCTTCTCATGTGCTCTCTGTCTGTTTCTCTCTCTGTCTCTCTCTCTCTCTCTCTTTCCCCATGGGTGCTGGGGTTTCCGTGCTGACACAGAGGATGGAAGAAGACACCCTAGACGATTTTGCATCTGAGCATGGAGCTTCCCTAAGCATGGAGTCTTTCACGCAGAAAAGCCTTGTCTCTTCTCCTGAGGTTATCACCATCCCTTTTCTTTTCTCATCCTTCATTCTCACAGTTTGCCTCTCCATGGTGCCCCTCAGGGGCTCTCCAAGCAGAACTCAAACTGTTTGCTGGCACCTCTGGGTGGGACCAGGATCCTTGACTGGGTCAAGACTGTTGGTGAAATCTGCTCCTGTGCCTGTTCTTTTGGATCTGTGTGACAGGGTCCTGGGAGACCTGCTGGTGAAGCCCTGCTGGTCAGTGGTGGTGGGGTATCCCCCAGGGTTGCATGAGTCTGTGCTGGAACTGGTACCAGGAGTACCAGGAGGTACAGCTGGGACCCTTGGCACTGTTGCTTGGCAAATATCTCCTCCAGGTGCAAGACATCTAGCTACAACCAGTCTTTAGCAGTCTCTTATGTTTTCCTCTCCCTTCAGCTGCAGTTACAGTTGCTTAGGCCCAGGCACCTTGAATAAGGACATCTCTGGATATCAGACTTGTGCCTGTACAAAGCAGGATCACCCTACTTTGAAGTCCTTGTTTCTGTGAGTGAAAGTGTCCTTTCAGCACTGCTTGCATACAGGGTTTTATCTCACATGATGGCAGTTCTTTCCGGGGACAGCTGAAATAGGATAATACTGAGTAGAAGAAAACTAGTCTTAGAAACTTGGCTCTGATGTAGTTGGACCCAACCACAACAAAATGTAGTGCACAGCAGCGCTAGGGTGGGTGTCCTTCCTGAGTGCATCCAGAGAAGGCAGCAGAGCAAGGGCAGCCTCAGTCTGGGGCAGGTGGATGGGGCCAGTGCATGGCTGGCTCCACTCTGCCACTGCCTCTCACCTCAGGGTGCAATGCCACTGCGTGAAGGATGATCAGGTGCCCTTCCTGTGGGCTGGAGACCATGTCTGTGCAGGATGGACAGAAGTGAGATGCAGTCTCTGCTAGAGTACAACCCTGCAACCTTTGCACAGAAATCACAGTAGTGAGGTGGGCACGCAGCACTTAATGCATGGCTTCCTGTCTTCTGCCCTGTGGAGGCCCTCAGGGTGCCAGGGCTGCACTGAAGTGTGGGCAGCCAGCTGGTCTCACCCGAGATTTCTCTCCACTGATGTATGGGATCTTTCCCACACATGACTGATGGTCTGTCACGGAATTAACTAGATCAGTTTATGCCCGTGACAGGGGGCAGTAGGCCCCTGCCCTCCCCACCC